TGTTACGCGGTAACGAAACCCAATAGTTGTCCAGATGAAGACTAACGTACGAAAATACGAATGCAGTAAGAGCCGGTGAGCGGCCGAGCAAGTGGCAAAGGTGCGGAGTCAGGTGGTCCCTAGCCATCGATTAACACAAGCTGTTCATCATATGTATATAATTCAACTTGTCCTTAGTACGCAAAATCATGAATGTTTATTAGTATATGTGTTCATAACTTTTACGGTACTTACGTCAACCAACCGGGACGATATGAACAGATGATTAAAGCAGTTAAAGCAAATGTAAAGTTATTTTGTTCTGTAGCAATTCTCCTTATATTCTGGTTCTCTTTGCACGGCGTTGCACAGGGGGTGGAGAGAGAGAAAGAGCACTGTTGTGACAAAAGGGAGCCAGACATGTATCCAGGAGAGAGCGGAAGGGATAACGGGGAAGGAAGGGGGTTGGCGTAGATGGAACAAGGGTTTGTGGGAGGAAGTGGGAGGAAGGGGTGAAGGGGGAACATGAGAAGGGGGATGGATGTCGGCGGCCACTTTTGGTGTAGAGGGAATGGAGAGGGAGATTGGAGGTTGGGTGAGGGATAGGCATGCTTTTGTATCATGTGATACCAGAGCGAGAAGGACAAGGGGTAGGTACCAGGGGAGTAGAGACTGGAGTGTCTGGATCTAGAATGGCAGGAGAATCTGACTGGGAGAGGGAAGAGGTAGAAGTGGGGACGTAATGAGTAGGAGGAAGAGTTGCTGGGGGAGACGTGGAAACATTTTGGGGAGAAAGGGAAGGGCCAAAGCGAAGGACAGCACTGGAGTAGGGAGCAAGAGAAGAACCTCATCGCCGTACTTTCTGCCCAGTCTCGTGTAATGTGAGGCCGAGTTTGAAATTAAGGACCTCAGACTCGAACTTTGTAGGTAGGGCAGCCACTATAAAATACTATATGGGAGCCACTACAATTGTCACACGGGCGTGATTGCGTAGTGTAGTTTGAACGATCATCGCCAGGTTGGGTACATAGAGGGCAGCGGGCTGTGGAGCGACAGTGCTTAGCAGGATGGCCAAAACGCTGACATTTCTGACGGAGGAGGCGTCGACACTGTCGGACAGGGAATGACTCTCCACCAATATAAACTTCATTGGGGATGGTCATGACTACAGAAGGTAATCTTGGCATATTGGTGTAAGACTTTCGGTGGCCTCTGGGAACAATAGTGTACCACTATACTGATACTGCAGCGTCGTAGACAGTGCAATCAGTCGGGGAGATGGAAGCAGTTCCACTACAAGTATTAAAGGAGGAGTGAGGCCGGTCAGGTTTGCCAGGGAGATTTATCAGGGTCGATAATCGACGAGTTTGGGATTCAGATGTAAGTGACGAATTAAAGAAAAACTCAGTTCATAATACTTTATTCCATTTGTCATACTAGTTATTCTTATCACATAAAATTGCAATACATATAAATATAAGATACATATAGAATTAATGGTAGTACATAAGTTTTGCTTATATTTTGAAACTTTATTTTTTCTTCAATGTATTCGAGTTCTGAATGTTTCAGGTGCTATGTTATCTATCTGTCGTGCCTCTGTATCTTTATGTGATATTTTCATATATAAAGAGTTTATCTGTCTTGTTTGGATATTGGTTGTGCTACATGAGGCTGGAAAAGTTAAGAGCCACCTTGGCTAAAAAAGTTTGAATTATTTCATGAATTAGTTTGCAAGTATCACAGTTGCATTTGTACTGTACATTTAGGCATTACAGTTTATTCAAGTGTAGGGTTATGTGATCAGCAAAGCAGCAAACTTTTTGATTTTTATCTTTTAATTTTATCTTTATATGTTGTGTCCCACATGATGGTTTGTATAAAGGAGAGCCTCGTTTCTTCAGGGATTTTATTTTTTTTATGATTAACGTGCTCATTGCTTTTCCATAGACGTCAATATGGGTCTCAAATGTCATGAATCTATCAGTGTGTACTTCATTTTTTTACTGAAATGCTTCATATCTTACGGTAGTGCTTCCAGGCATTTTGACAATGTTTTGGGGACTACCTTGTTTCTGGAATTATCTTGAGACCATTTGTGTCAAAATGTCTTGGGTCTTTTTTATCAATTAATCTAAGTTGCTTACAGAATCACTTTGGAGAAATTATGAATCATCGGCGTATTGAACAAGAGGGCAATTTTGAGCCATAGTCATTTACGAATATTCTGAATAGGACTGGGCCTAATATAGTTCCTGATGGAACAGCAAAAAGTATAATCTATTTTTTCGATATGTCCTCATGAATTTTGACTGATTGGGTTCTGATACATTGATAACTTCTGGACCAGTATGTGTCGATTTTGTGATTTATTAGTTTACTTTCGTGGTTGACACTATCAAAATGTATTAAAATTTTCTTGAAACCTATTGTACATTCCTGTTTTTGACGGAACATCTTGGTCAGTTATCTTGGTTCAGCTTTAAAGCCAAACCAAGCGTTTTCTCCACTAGGTTCCCTT